GGTTTGGTTTGGTTTGGTTTGGTTTGGTTTGGTTTGGTTTGGTTTGGTTTGGTTTGGTTTGGTTTTGGGTTTTGTCACTTTTCAGTAGGAACAGGATTAACCATTCATCTGCATTAAAGAATATCAGGTTTTGTTTTTCATACTGTTCTAAGGGTGTGTTTGTGTGTGTAGACATACATTCACTTTGAGCATAGTCCTTGTCTAAAATTTATATTATATTTAATTTGATCATATGCTTATGGAATAATTTCTGTTTATAGAATAATTGAACTTGCATTTTGTGAATACTCAGGGAACATTGCATATGTAAGTCCAGGCCAATAAAACGATGGATGAAAGACATCTGAAAATTTTCCATACTGCATAAAAGCAAAGCGAAAATTGTCCACAATGTTAGAATCCACTTTTTCCAGAATTTGGCAATTACTAAGATATGTATCAATCCAAGGAGTGTCTGTTTATAGGCCTCAGCAAATTAGTGGGTTTTGGGTATAACCTGCCCCGTTCCCATCTCCACTGCAGAACACAAAACTGAACCGGCAGCTGTGTGGGAGCCACACAAGACAGCAGGATGAGCTGGGACTTTCTCAGGCCCATATTTCCAGATTCTTGTTACTTGATCTGCTTGCCATTTTCAAGATGTCACCTGTAAGGTTGTCTTTATTTGCCTTGATAAGAGCTTGGCAGGTATGACAAGAGCTTTTCCCCTGTAGCATTTGCTGGAAGGTCTTCAGAGAATTGAGTAGCATGTGTCTGCTTCAACTGGTGGATAACCTGTGGAACTAGCAATAGGCTAAGAATTTTAAAGGAACACTGGGGGAATGAGGCAGCCAGGGAGGGAGCAGTGAAGAAGCTTTCATGCTCCTGAGGGTCAGGTGGTCACGCACACATGCAGGATTTTGCACATCCACAGTGTCCTGCCCTTACGCAGGAAAGGCCTGACATCGTCTTAAGCATTCATCTCAAGCTGTCCTTGAGGCTCTGTGAAAGCAGAGAGTAAAGCCAAAGGCAACACTTGTCACCTCTGACTTCGTGTTGAAGCATTGTCCCTACATGCACTCAGAGCCCTGAGAACATGTGGAGAGACTTACTGGTTTGGGGTAGGGAAATCTCTGTCTCATCATTAGCATTAACCTACCAGAGCAGACATGTTAGTGTGCATGTATCATAAGGAATACAGACACCGCCGAACCACTTAGGAGACTCACTAAAACCAAAGCCACAGCTACGGGAGACCTCTCAGGGATGAGTGTACAGAACCTGAGTCACCACAGCATCCTTCAAAGGGTCCACTTTTCCACACACC